GCATTAGCAATATTCTTGTAAATAATAAATAATAATAATATATAAATATATAATATTTAATGATGGGTTTATTGGTTCTTAAAATTGCAGCCGACTAGCCGATGTCTCTATAAATAACAGACAAAGCTAATAATATTTTAAATATAATAATTGCTCGGTTTAATTATATTAAATTCACAGTTGTAGATGTTCAAAACTATAGTGACGAAATAGTAGATAGGGAATTAAATAGTTGAAATATTTTTCGATGTTATATAAATTGCTATTAGCTATAGTGCTAATGGTCATTATTGAGGACTCAATTGTAAGTTTTATTTTTTTATATTAAAAAGTTTCCTTTTATAGTATACTTACCTCTAAACTCTCCCTTTTTGACTTTGTATATCATGAGATGTTTCAGGGAAACAACCAGGGGGTGGACCCCGGGTTCGGACACCCTCCTCCTCATTGGATATTGTCGTCGTATTTTTATATTTCGAGCGTAGTTTCGAGTGTTTTTCTTTCTGTCTGTCATCAAGATTTGAGAGTAGTAAAAATGCTCTTATGGTATTACGAATATTCTCACATTTTTCAGGGATACACAACTTCATAATAAAATATAGATATGTATTCATATAATATGTATTATAAATGTAGAATACTAGAATGTATTAGCATATGCATTATGCATAATGTATTACTTTAAATTGTACATGTATTCTTTTTTCTATACTATACATTTATAAGTTTCTACTTAGTGTAACAATTTATTCCTAAAGTAATATTAACTACGTAAAATGTTTTGTAGTCAATGGGTCCAGACTCCGAGACTTTCAACATAACAGCTTTTCTGATACAAAAGTGAATCTATTTGGTAATTTGGGATGTTAAAATAAAAAGCGTCAGGAAAAAAGTGGTGATTTAAATATGTTATGCAAAACCAATTTTAGAAAAAATCGGTTTTAATTTTTTAGTGTACCTAACTCAAAAACTAATTACCGTAGACACTTGACATTTTCATCGGATGTTTATAATAGCATTTTCCATATAAAGTAACATTTTCGAATTATTTTAACTCTTTAAGCTAATTAAAGCTTATTTTTAAAAATTAACCTCGATAAAAACTTTTCAACTTAGTAAAAAAACTTGAGAATGTAATGCAAGGTTCCTTAATGGTTGCATTGATGGAAGATCAAATATATTAAAGATACATAAGCAAGATTATGTTTTATATGTATTTAAAGTTCAAATTTTGACATTCATCAAAATCTCGAAAATTTTCAATTTTTTTGCAGTTAGAAATTCATAAGTTTTTTTTTTCATAGCTAACATAAGAAATTTTAATAGAAAATACCCCACTGACCCCACAAATAATTGTTCTGCCTTAAACAAAAAAAAAGTTTTTCATAATGGTCATTACAGACTACAGTCAATAAAATTTCAGGAGAGACTAACATTTTCAACATAAATGAGCCCTCTTCGATCCCATAAATAACTAAAAAGCTATCTGTTTTCACCAAATGTTTACATTAAGCATTTTTTTTTTGTCTCATGCGTACAGTATAATAGTATAGTTTATATTACTATACGCATGATTACATTTAAAATTTTTTTTTAGCTATATATATACTTAAAGACATTATTAGTAATTTTTTTTTAATATTGACAAATAAATTTTTGCTTGATCAAACATTTTGAAAATTGAATACTGAAAAATATTTTACCCAAATTTAGTCATAATAACTTAATAGTTAATATTAATATCTATATATAAGTACTAAGTAACAATAGGTATTATAATTTAATTTGTATTCTATAATGTTATAAATAAAATATCTCCCCTCTCCCTGAAAAAAATTATAATATCTATCATATCTATCTGTGCCATTTACACAACGTACATTATTTTGAAAAGCGCGCCACTAGTCACTACAGCCTACACCAGCTGCTAATTCTTGTAGTCGATAACAGCATGGTATAAAAACATTGTAAGTAACAAGTAGGTTATAACCAAGTTATAACTTTACAAGTACCTACTTATACTGGACAGGTATCTACTAAGTCGTTTCATCTAATAACGCCCATGTTTTTTTATCCATATTATTATTTATATGCGATTTCAATTATGTATGTACTACCTATACGTAGTTTTCAGATCGAAATATCGAATAAATTGTCATTATGTTATTTTATACGTGTTTAACTACTAAGTTGGTCTAAGGACTGCGTTTATTCGATGTAAATTTAATATAACAATTATCATTATTCTTTAACGTGTTCTGCAATGTTTACAGTTCATGGAAACTATATTGAAATAATAAAAATAACATATTAAGAAATATTGAATTGCTAGTGGTGGATACCCTGCCCGGTTTCCCGCGCAACAGACAACATGACTTCATTAGTTTATTAATTCTTGTCAATCCTTTAATTCATTGTTATATTATAACAATTATTATTAAATATTAATATGTATTATTTTTAATTTAACCATGTATTAATAAATGCAGGTAAAGGTATACTGGACAAACAATTTGGTTTAGCTACCTTTTTTTAAGCGAAGCTTCTTAGAGATTACACAGCATATACAATATTACAATTATAACAAAAAAAAAACACGTAATAGCGAGAAGCCGAGAAAGTTATAAACTAGATAATTAAGATTACGACTTAGATATAAACTGTTTAACCTATAAGTATTACAGTAATATACTATGTATTAGTATAGTTGATTTCTAATTTAAAAATATTTTATATTTTTATTTGAGCTACATTTTACTCGGGCTACGTAAAATATGAATGATTCGTTGATGCGTAATACATAAGCACTAGTACAGTTGTGCTACATTATATAGTTAACTTTTTTATTTGTCGTACGGCCGTTTTGAAGTGTTAGCTACTTAGCTACTTCGTTTACTATTAGGTATAGTAACCAGTAGGTATACTGCTACGTCGTTTAGGTGTTTAACACTAAAAATAGCTTATACTAGGTACACAGTTGTCACTTGTCAGTTGCACATATTTGCACCTTACACCTATCTCAGTCCGAGTTATCCAGAATATAGTGATATGCTGCATTTGTTTAATTGAGTTGCATAAATATTACCTAATTTTACTTGTTAATATACCTATGCCTAATGTCTGTTTCTTGCAGTGTTTTTATCTTTTAAGATTTTACCTATCACAGTTTTATAGAAGTTTCTTGTGTCATACATATGAGCATAAGCGCAAATGGGAGGGGAATTGACGCTTGAGCATCACAAACATTTTTAAAAGTCCTCCAAAAATATCACATATTTAGAAGCTAAGAACAAAATTAAACAAAAATAAACTGAAACAACAATGCAACTATTGAACTATAACTAATAATTTATAAGTGTTTTGCAGGTTTACTTTTATGGCAATATATTGGTTATTTGCTATACATACACCATTATATGACAGAAGCGTGCGGTGTCATTTATTTTGTTTATTGTCTATACCTATTAGATTTTTATAATGTCTTAAAAGAATTTCAATCTTATAACACTAGACACCAATATGATAAATTTTAAATCGAGTTGGTGATTTCATAATGTAAGAAGTTATTGAATAGAACAAGAATCGAACATGAAATATAATAATTTGGGGTTTGGTTCGAAAGCCCTATAGCGATGGTGGTAAATTGTGGAGCAGAATTTAAGCCTTATTTATAGTTTTGATCATGTATATAATATATATATATTATATAGCGTCATGCTTTTGTTACTTTTTCTGTAAAAGGATAAGGGAGTATAGTATTATATATTATCATAAACGTTATGCAACGTAGTTTATAGCTGTATCCTATTTAATTTCCAAAGTAAGAATTATGTGCATATTTGCGACGTGTGTCTGTCAAACCATTACAAATTAATTTTTTAGTGTACCTACTGGGCATCTTTATGAAAATCGATATTATTAAGAATTGAGCACATTTCAAGTATGACAAGAAGTCACTTCTTACTCCTTGACTGCCAGCTTCAGTCACAAAACTCGAGGTTCTGTGGACCTCTTGATTGGAGGCTCTACAGTGTGGTGGGAATAGTCTACCAAAGGGGACATACCCTTCAGGAGCTATCATTAAACCGGGCAGTGATTAACTGGTAACCTAAACTATTTGTTTAACAAGTGCCATCGATCAGTGATCGTCATACTGCTAAAAAAAAAAATACTAGATGTAAAGTGGCCGCGGTAAACTAAAAATATGCCCTTTTTTCTTTAGGTCAAACTACTTTTTGGAATATTTAACGAATTTAGGTTTATATAATATGTAGGTATAAATGTAAAATATTGTTGTCAAAATCGATCGATCGTTTGCGTGTTAAAGGAGTAGGTGCATTAAGTTTCAACGACACGCTAAAAAATAAAAACATACTTATTTAAGTTTTCGAATAATATAAACTTAAAAAATGATGGAAGGACCGCAATGTGCATCGTGCGCCGGCTAAGACTGAGAGTTTAAACTTTACAGATCACTACAGTGCACGCCTCACAAGTACCTACGGATTGCACACCCCACACGACTTTCCTCAACTCTAAACTTCACACAATTACACAACAACAAACACTAAATAGTGAACAGTAGTACAGTTCAACACGCAGTTCACAGTTTCACACGGGAACACCGCGTATTTTGAAGTATTATATGTATATAACGCGTCAAGAACGCATGCGCGCGCCTGTCCGTGTGTTGTGTTGCAGCACGCGGAGGAATCTGATTTTTGGCGCGCTTCCCGCTGCGGCGGCGGTCTTCGTCGCGGTGGTGGGGAAAGCCGGTCGACGCGGCGGGGTTCCGGGGTCGAGACCAACAGCTGTTCTCGATGAGCGGGAAACGGTTTAAACGCCGATTGCCGCCGCGCGGCCGGCCCGCCATTGGCCGGGCAACGGCAACGGCACACGGCAGCAGCCACCCGATTGGCCGCACCCCGCCACCGCCGGCACACGCACACAGACCGCTTCGATTCCCCGCCGCACGACACCCTCCCTACCACGCCGCCAGCACAGTCGGTCCGCGTAAACAAAGGCTCCGCCGCCGCGTTACCGAAAACCCGTGTCGTCCACCGGAGAATCTCGAACGAAATAACTTTACAACCGCGTAGAACCGTCGTCGTCCCGGTGCGTCTGTGGGACTAGAGCAGCTACGACTTTTCCTATGCCGCAGTGTTACGTATTATCCGCGTACGCGTCGTCGTCGTCGCGACCGCCGCCACATAATCATCGCGCGCGCGTGTGTGCATGTGTGTGAGTGTGTGTGTGTGTGTGTGTGTGTACGTGTGCGTGTGTTCTGTAATTCGGTTGTTCAGTGTTGTTTATCGCCGACTGGACACTCGTGTCTCGCGTTCCGGCAACTACTCGTAACCCGTTCTCAGTACAGAGCCGTGTGCTCGCCGAACCAATTTCTACGGCGCCGACGACATGGGACGCGATAGCTGCACCTTAAACGCCACCACGGCCGATCAGTGACCGGCGTTTCGTCGTCACCGCCGATTTCTCGGGGTAAGTGTAACACAACAACTGCCGAGCGGTGTCCCGCAGACTCCCGCGCAACGGACACCGCGCCTCCGGCATCTGGACCGCGTCCGTCTCCTCTCCCCTCCCGTGGACTTGTGCCGCCGTTACGAAAAGCCTCGCGCGAATATCGCGTACTCGGCGCCGTCCCGTTGTTGGTTTTCGCGTTTTCCGACCAAAGTTCCACCGCCCCTCCCATCGGTCCAGCCGCTGCCCGCCTACCCATCGGTCCGTCACGCGCGCCAGGCGGTTCGCGGCGTTTCGTGCGTTGGTACGGTCGCGCGCGCGCCAGCCAAAACATAACCTCTATATCCGCGTATCTCCGCGCCGCCGTTATAGCGTCTCTGGCTCTGCATCCCCTTTGTTTCCGGGACTTTTGAAATCGCGCCGTCTCGTCGTGCCACACTCCGTTCGTCAATTGAGATGTGCTCGGCATCCGTCGCGGCCGCCAGTCACCGTCGCCACGCGAACCGGCTGTAGTAGTCGTTCTGAAAAACACCCCTGGGGACAGCGACAGACAGTGTTTGGGTCCACTGAAGACTGTAAACACCTCGTCCGTCGAGTCGGTAATGTTTTTTTTATTATCCGTGCACCAATGCCCACGCCGATAACTCGACATGGCCAACATTTTTTTTCAACTTGTCACAACTGATCACATCCCTTTGTCTGGCTCATGTACAACCCTTTCATACGCAACACACAACAACTGGATCGTCGATGAGTTTGTTTGTTGGTTATGCTCTATTATTCAATTTTGTTAATCTTATGTGGTGTATTTGAACCTACTGTTGTTTGGTGTATGGCATGGTTGAAGTACACTAGTTTGTATTTCTTTGTCAACTTTCGGTTGAACTTGGGGCAGGAATAAATTATATTATAGGTGATTTCACTGACGCTTGCGAATTCATCTAATTATTCTTTTATCGAATATGAACCTTTTCAAATATTTATTTTAGAATTTTCTAAACTTGAACCTACTGTAGAGCTATCTCAGTAATCCGGTCAAGTGATAATCCGCACACGTCAAGAAATCCGCCCCCTCCCGCTTGTTTTTGATTATTATGACTAAGCATATTATATCTACACTAGGTACTTGTAATTTTAAAATAATCAACTATCTCATAAACTAAATTAAGTAATAAAAAAAATGTAACCTAATACCCAGGTAGTTGTCTATCTAATTTTTAAATTTTTAAATAAATTAATTGTAATAAATGCTAAATGATGGTTTACTAGTTATTTGATATCCAAACTATTCTCTATAATTAAATTATATTTATTTTATTCTTAAAATTCCTTTAAATACATTAATTTACCTAATATTAATGAATTAGTAGTCACTGCAGGAACTAAGGTGAATGTATACGGGAATTCTAACATTAATTAGTTAATGTCTATAAGAATTTGAATAATTTATACTCAAAAACATTACCAACTATTTTCATCCCATCTATTTGTAGTAGGTTTTCTTTTGAATTTTTATGAATTTTAGTTAGTTAAGTACTTAAACATTTAGGTAGAGATATTGACTTGAGTTGAAATTTTAAGAATCATCCTGTATTTTTGATTTAAGTAAAGAAACAAGAGGTACCTACCTATATTTTTTAACAACCTATTTAATTACAATATAAATTTTATTCCAATAACATGCACAATTGTGATATTTTTTTATTTTAATGGAATGGAAAAAGTATGAAAAGTTAATCTAAATTAGATTAAAAAATACTATCATTCGGTTTTTTACATAAGCACTTAAGATCTAAATCCATTTTCAATATCTATGTAACTTAATTTTAATGATCCCATTAAAGCAAATAGTGTTAATTATAAATTACCTATACCTAATATGATAATATGTTAATAATAGATGTGAGAAAGAAGATTGATTGTTCCTGTAAATTCAATAATTGTAAATTACCATAAAATTGAAAAATGCCTTTACCTCTTGTACCTATTACATTTCCAAGTTTTTGATGCAGGATACAAATGTTGTTCCTCCAATGACACTGTATGATATCAACTTTTAAATATTAGTCAGTCATAGAAAATTATTATTAATACAATCAACTCATATTAGTATAATTTTTGAAAGTTTTTTTTTATTTAAACTTTGTGTTACAATTAGTTTTAACAATTCAGTGAATTTTGAAAGTTAAAATGGCAATTTATAAAGAACAATGGAAAAAATTAATAATATATAAATGTCTTAGTGGTTCTCAATATGTTTGGAGTTATTTTTAAAATTTGGATGTGAAGTATAAAATAATGAATGGAATTTCGCATGAAAACTGTATGTTTATTTAGTTTTAAAAACCACTGAAAACAGTATTAATTCCAACCTACTTTGCACTACTATAACCCGTAATCGGGTAACACCCCAAAATTAATACCCATGAAAATCAACAAATGAAATTTTTGAAAATTTTGTTCTCATAAAATTCTAAAATACTAAACCATAATAATATCTTTATAGATATATTTTCTTTTCTATTTCAAGTGTATTAAGTTGAATAGATACCTAAATATTTTATACAATTAATTAATTTATGAAGAAATAGGTAGATGGTGCCTTTAACATGATAAATATACGTTTGTTTGTTTATGATGGCCTGCCTTACATATAAAAGGACTCATCAATTAATGGTGTAAAGTTTTATATTTAGTATCTACATATATTATTTTATAAGACCTTAATAATGATTTATTTTTAATAGCAAAATTCTTTTTTTTTAGGTATAACAGTTTTTGAATCAATATAATCCACAAAATGTCTAAGGCATGCAGAATGTTGAATTTGGATGAAGATGGATCTTCTACTCCAAATACAGCAATAATTAAATTAGGTGGGTGATTTTTTTAAGCTTATCTTTTTTAATTTATTTTTTCACTACTTATATTTGACTTAGTAAATAGGTGCTTGCCTTTAAATTATAAGTTCCAATTGTCCACCATATAAAATCTATACATAAATATATAGGTATAGGTAATCAATTATTAGGTTTACCTAATTATAGTTTTTAGACATTCACAAGGTATGACAGAATGACCTAATTAATGAAATAACTTGTTCTAATTAATTTTTTTATTTAATTTATTGGCTTGTATGCTACGTGTATAATATAATATTTTTTATTTTTTTAGTAACGAAAGTAAAAAATCTGATTAAAATTTTTTTTTTTTTTGAAAATAACCAATTTATAAATCTAGTTTTTAAAAAACTTGATTTTAAAGGCAAGTGGTTAATTTTTTATAATTTTTTAAAATGTGAAATTGTTAAGAAGTAAATTAAAAAAATTAGATATTAACAAGTACCTTACATACCTACCTATTTACAAATTCTCATAAAATATTTTGGAATTCAAAATCTTTTTTTTTCATTTTTGTACTACTATCAACATCAAAATGTTCAAAAAAATTATCCACTAATTAATTAACAGTAAAAGAGGGAGGTTCTAATTTGAAAAAGAGAAGTTTGTGTCACCACAGGAAACTCCTTAAGTAGTACAAAAATATTCAAAAATTTTAAAATAAGGTCTTAGAGAATATATATTATTAATTCCACAAATCAAAATTTGAATAAATTCATTATTAAAGGAAAAAATGGGGTTGAGCATACTTGGTGAATCACCCTGTATAATAACTATTTGTCTGTATACTCATATACCTATTATTTTAATAAACAATAGCTGTTTCTTATTTGAAAATTGTTCAGTTTATTTTTAAAGCACTGCCATAATTCTTAAGGCTTTAATTAATATATATTATCTATCAATATTTCTAATCTTATTTAATTTTAAATGTTAAGTTTTTGTATTTAATACTAATCATAGGAGACATAAGAATTTATTATAACCTTTTTATTTTATAACAAAGGATCTAGTATTTTACTAACTGATTAGTCAATATGTGTCCTATATTATGGTATTACCAATTACTGTGTTTGTATTTATACCTTGATTTACTTGATGCCATTTTAGTTGTAATGTGCAACTGCAAATGTATACAATTCTCAAATGTTGCTTAAACTTAAGGAAATTTATACAAGAACTAAATTCATTGTTTATTATTTATTGTCTAAAATCAAAATATTATTTTGGTGGTTATCATGGATTTAAGCTAGATAATTTTGCATTATGTTATAATCGCACTGAGGCTTTCCTAGGTTTTACTTTCAACCACCTCACCCTTAACATTATCTTAAAAAGCTATTTACAAGACAGAAGTTGACAATAAATGTTCATAAGTTTTACTCAATAGTCATTCAACCGTACATTGTGACACCTATTGACAATTGTTACAAAAAGATAATTCAGTTGTAAAAATGTAATTATTTTTAGTTAAATAGGTACTTATTATTTTTAACTTGTTAATTTATATATTTGGCATATTCATAAATAATTTCATATTATGATATATTTATTTTACAGATCCAAATATGACAACTTTCTTAACGCCATCACCATATCACTTGCTTGATCATGAATATGGTATGACACCACAAAATCAAATCATTCCAAATCCTCTTACATCACCATTAACAAAGTCACAAGTAAGTTATAATGTAATTCATTATATTTTATTTTTTTGAATATAGAAACCACTTAAGTTTTTAATAAATAAGATAAAATCTAATCAGAAAAACATAAATGAATTTTAAAAAAAAAACTAGATGGTTTGGAATTCTAAACATCACAACACTCATTTATCTATGTATGTCCAATAAGTATAATGTTATTATACGTTAATACATATAACACATAGTCAATATTATTCATAATTAATTAGTTAAATACAGGGTAATTTACCAAGCATGCTCACCCCCATTGTTTCCTTTAATAATAAATTCATTCAAATTTTGATTTTTGGAATTTTTAAATATACCTGTTCGAAGACCATATTTTCAAACCCTTAAATTTTTTTGTACCACCTAGAGGTATCCTGTGGTGATCCAAACTTCTGTTTTTCAAATGAGACCCCCCCTCTCTTTTACCGTAAATTAACAAGTCGATAATTTTTTTGAAAATTTTGATGTACCGCATTCAAAATTTGAATGAGTAGTTTCTTAGTTATTAAAATGTTTGTATTAAGGATAATAGTCCTTAAAACTGATTTTTACATACGTATAAAATAGACATAAGGTTGAATCTGGTATTTTATTATCCTCGGGCTATTTTAACAAATTATTTATATCCATAGACTAATTATTAATGATTACAATTTTCAAATCACCATAGCCCCCATGTATTATAAACTCATTACTATGGACCTTTTATCCGTAGAACTCAAGAGTTAAATAACCCATAAACTAATCGTACAAATTTTAATTTTGATACATAAAAAATTTCAGAAAAATTATCTACTGTATAATTTATAGTTAAATATAGGGGTGTTCTCATTTAAAACAGAAGTTTGTATCTTCACAAGACACTCCTTAAGTGGTACAAAAATCTCAATAATTCGAAAACGTAGTCCTAAGCATATTTAAAAAGTTGAAAAAATTAGATCTTGAATAAATGCATTATTAAAGAATAAAAGGAGGTGAGCATGCATGATGAATCACCCTATATATAAATATATATATTTATATACAGACACAACTAATACATAAGTTATTAAAATTGCCTACTGTAAATATTTATTATGTTTTTGTTTTAAGTTAAGAGGATGTCAGCACAATATTTGTGTTCTCTCTCGGACTCACACGAACATAGATAAAACGCTTACATCTAAAATCGTTGATGATTTCAAAGTTAACTTATACAAATACCTATTACAAAAATTATAGAGGATAATATTTGTGAGGGTATGGTATATCGGCTTTATATTTTATTAATAGTAGACTTCGTATTCTACTTTCAAAATAAAACAAAAAATTTAATTAAAATGATGTTTAAATTGTTTTGAGACATTATTTAGACAAATGGATGTGTCAATCCCTCAAAAATATTGTTCTGTATCGATTTTGTAATAGGTGATTTCACTCGAAAACTAAAAAAAATTGATTCTGGGTAAATCTGTTTTGTCTATGTTACGCATGGGCCAGAGAGAGAAAACTAACAGTGAGCTGACAACAACTCTTCGAGTTAACAAAATACTTTTGAGTAATTAGAGCTTCTTAATTCTTTCTCCACATAACTAAGTAGGTACCTAGTTTTATTTTTATTATTTTAATATTATAAATTGATTTTAAAATTTAAAATTTAAAATTTCCCATCACTTATTCATTACTAACCAATCTGTTATTAAAATAAAAGGTGGAGTAGGTACTACTTTGCTGTTCAGTAGATCGCTGTAATGGATGTGTTTAATATTTGAATTCAATGATATAAAATTATTTTTATAAAAAACACATTTCAGAGCAAAGATGGCCTGTCAGCCTATATTATTAAGTAGTTTATGATACTATTGCTATTAAAATAATTTATTTTACTATAAGTAAAAGGTAGGTAAATTGAATTAATTCTTGACAAAAACATTGCATATGAAAATATAATTGTATGTATATAAGATATAATAATATGCTTATTAAATTTAAAAATTTCAAGTACCTACCCAAAAATTATATTTTTAAATTACAACAAAATTATTACAATTGTTATTCTTTGTTTAGTAGTTAATTTAATTTTGTCCAGATTTGAATTAAATGTTTAAAAAAAAAACTATTTATATATTTTTGATTTAATGGTTACAACATGCATTAGTTATGAGAATTATTGTTTTAAGTTCTCAATTACTAGATATAAAAATTGAACATTTTATAAATTTAAACTACAAAATTATTTGCAAATTGTTGTGATTTTAATAAATGTTGTCTAAATTGATAGATAAATAAATGGTTTTTTGAAAAAGTTGTGCCTATGTATCTTATATACAGAGTGGTGTTATTTAAATTGTCTAAGCCCCAAATCTATTAAACCTATTACTAAAGACATATTATACTTAGGACATCAAGTTACTTAACTCAAAAACTACACTTTTAAATTTAGATACATCAAAAGTCTCAAAACAAATATCTGCTTAATAAAATCAAATAAAAAAGGGAGGTTTCCGTTTTGCAAATGTAAGTTTTTAATGGCACAGGATCATCCTTAAGTGATACAAAAAATCTCAAGGTTTCAGAAATATGGTTTTTAAATGTATTTAAAAATTCCTAAAAACCGAATTTGAATAAATGCAGAGTTTAGGCATAACAATAGAATGTACCTTATAAAATTTGATTACATTTCATTAATAACTTAGACCAGCTATCATTGTATAAAATCCTAAATTGCTATTGAAATACTTATATTTTATGTTTTAATGTATATATCTAGTTACCTTATGTATTTATACAACTATACATTGATTTGTTTATTTAACAAACTTTTATTCTATAAAAATAATCGTTTTACTACCTACCTGTAGTATTTATCCAAAATACTTGTGATAATAAATTAACAACATTAATCCTCAACAATTGAGGATTAAATCTACAATAAATTATATGAAGTGTCTGTATAATACATACAAACCTGTATTCAATTTTATTTTTTACAAAAAAACTGTTTGTATAAATAAACTATATATTTAATATCAATTTTTATGAATAATTTTATTGAGAAACAGTTAATATTTTATAGTTATTTTTTTATTGTAACAAGTTTGTGTAGAAATAGTTAATTTTTACTCTAGAAATGTTGTACACAATGAGTAAAATAAATCCTTTGTCCTATGTTAATTGATTTTAAGACGTACTTCTCTTTATATTGTAAAATTCTAACTGGTATTATCATGATTTAAATTTTTTGTTTAAGGGTGTAAAACGAAGATTAAATTTAGAGTCACAAAATTTTGGGTATGACGATGTTACACCTTCAACAGCTAAGCTAATGAGAAAATGGTCTAGTTCAAGTACTGGCAGTGAACCCAGTCCTGCTCAAAATGGTTAGAAAAATAATATATAGATCTCAATTTATTGAAATGTGTGCTTCAATGTAAGTAAATAATTGTACAATATTTATTATTTTAGTAACGGGAAAGAAGTGTTCTGAACGACCAACACGTTATGATACCTCTTTGGGCTTATTGACCAAAAAATTTATTGGCCTGCTTGAAAATTCTACAGATGGTGTTGTTGATTTAAATATAGCGTCAGAAAAGTTAGATGTTCAAAAACGGAGAATATATGACATAACCAATGTTTTAGAAGGTATTGGAATTTTGGAAAAAAAATCCAAAAATAATATTCAATGGAAGTAAGTGGGACAAACAAATATTGATTAATAAATGTATGCTTATAAATTTGTAAGTAATGTTGTATTCAAAAAATTAATTTTTTAGAGGTGGAAATGCATATGGATCAGACAAAAATAATGTTCAACAGGACTTAGAAAAAATGAAAGCCAAAGAAGAAGAATTAGATAATTTGATTTTAAATACTGGTATGAATAAAATAATTATAACATAGTTTTTAAATTGGTACAAAAATCATAAATTAATCATATATTATAATTAATCATGCAATTATTAAGTATAATATGAAATACTGAGATATAAACCATATACTTAGTGCTTAGAATTAGTTAAATTATTTCACTGGGTATTTTTGACTTTTTAATTACTAAAATATTATGTTTTCAATGTTGTTTGTGTGTATGATAAAATATTTTATTAATATTTTTTTGCAGAACGAGATATAAAACAATTGACAGAAGATAAAAGATTTGGATATGTAACTTATCAAGATATTAGGTCTATTGAATCATTCAGACAAAAGACTGTTTTGGTTGTTAAAGCCCCTCCAGAAACTGAATTACAAGTACCTCAAGATCACATTGATGGAGATGTAAGTATAAGAATGTTGAATATATTTTACAATGACATGTTTTTAAATTTTTATTCTTTTGTTTGTCACTGCCCTTTAGGGCCGTAAAAAAGCTTTGATTTTCAACTTAAAGGGTGGTCTCTGGTAGCATATTGGATATTAAACATTAACAATTATAATACTTTTCAAAATAATAGGGGGAGAAAGGTATAGGAATTTTCACCAAATGTTAATATATAAAAATTTCTTTACATCTACATAAAACAATTTTCTTAATATTTTTATTCTTTCTGAACTATTTAAGACATTTTCAAATTTCAAATTTTTCCACCTTTCTCACTTGGCACTTATTGTAGAGCAGAACAATAACCCACGTTCTCCCCTTTTTATATTAAAATGTTTATTTTTTCTTAGCAAAAGATGTACATGAAAAGTAACACTGGTGAAATAGAGGTGTTCTTGTGTCCAGAGTATAATACTAATTCAACTTTACACCAACCACAAAGTCAGTTAAGGCCGTATACATCTCAGGTTAGTATAATTACAATTAATGTTTCAAAGTCCATTTGAATTAATTTTTAAATTTTTTTAGAGTGCCAATAATTCAACAATTGGCAACACGGTTATAAAATCGCCTCAAAAATCATCAGTTATTCAACAGTCACCTACATATTTGTCACACAAATATAAAATGGAAAACGTTGAGGAATCAGAAACTGTAGAAAATGTAGAGAATACAACAATCAGAAAATTCAAGGAAGAGCCTTTGGATGATCAGCAGTATATACCTAGTACAAGTGGTTCCGGTATGCAAATTATTACACATATACCACGTTACGTTTTACACGCACATCCTGGTTTATGCATGATATGGCCATGAAGTTCCAAACTTTTACAGTTGCTCGCTTATATTTTCTTCTACTTTTTTTAGTACAAACTAATATTTAACCTTCTTAATACTATATTAGCTTTTTTATTTGGTTTCCATTATTTTTCTTAACTATTTAAGTGAATTACAGTATGCTGCATGATAAAGATATTATTCTAAATGTGCTATTGCTGATCATGTTAATTGGTTTACCAGTAGTTAATTTTGTTTTGTTATGTTTTGTTTTTGTTTTTTATTGACAGTCATTTACAACACTTTATTTACAACAATATTATTATATACAATACTTTATCTTATAATTTGTGAAGTTAATTGAAACATGTGATACCTCCTACCTTATAACTTTTTAATGTAAAACATTAAATAGAATTAACTTATCATAAAATTTGTTGTATACAAAATTGGTAAGTGGCGTTTAATGTAAATGATTGATTGCTTTCAATCAAATATTTTAGATACTGAAAGGTGGCAATGTTTGTAATAACCTTAAGTTGAATAATATAATATGTGTAATAAGCACCTATTTAAATAGTTCCATATATGTATATGATGTTATATTACTACTTTATGTTTAGTCCATTAGTATTCTTAATAGTACATGTTTATATTATTCACATCATTTGAATTTGTTCAAGATCAAGTCACACTTTTTAGTTTAAAATACAATACTATTGCCACCTTTTTCATTACTTTTTACCACTTAACTAATTTTGCGAGATAAATCTTATTATTTATAATGAATATATATATTTTTTTTTTTGGTAGTTTCTAGTTTATATATTTTTTCTTGTATGTATCTTATGGGTTAATTTCAGTCGTTAATCTCAACAAAATAAAAATTTTGTTTATTTAAATGTAAGTTAGACTTTATAAGAATGTTCTAATAGGTAGATAAACCAAATTAAAAGAATCTCAATGATACTTATAAAGTAATAAATTATCATTTTGTTGTACAAAGTTTTTATTTTATTATTATTAATAATACTAAAAAAAATTTTTTTTTGCTTATTTGTTATATTACCTAACCTTGTCTTGTATTATATACTTTTTGCTTTTTTAATCTTATGATAATACTATAACCCTGTTATAACTTGTTGGGGATTATCAAAATCGAAATTATACCGTTTACTGTGTAGTTAAATTTTTGCTCATCCACATTATCCGAAAATTTTATAAATTTGCCATTGCTTCGGGTATACTGCTCTTGGGGAAAAACAGTCATGTCGGTCGTCCGCTGAATTTTACGAGTGCCGCATGTAATGTATGTCTTGTAGCACCATGGAATTCAGCTGTCGCCTGGTGTGTTATCTGCTTCTGCCTTGTACAATCGGCGCTTCTTCATACACCACATAAACAAATTATGTTGTGTGTAACATGAAATATTGTACTAAAATAATATTAATGATGGATATTTTATGTGCATCTACTTAATTCAAATTAAGGTCCAGTGAAGCAGCTACTGAAAATGTTAATAATTATGTATGTTAATATTAGCTTTATATTAAAATGTTAAACATTAACATATTAATATTATGTTCATGAGTTTATTTAATATTTATACAAACAAATGTTTCATAAATTATAAGTAGTATGTACTCATAAATATTATGTTATGTATGTTAGCTGTTTTTTTTTTTATCAACAAGTATTTCGTCTTGATATTTGTCAAAATTACAAAAGTAAATGGTTTCTCAATGCAATAGTTAAACCATAATCATGTATTTATTTTTGGATTTATGATGAAAAAAGTGTTTGTTATTAGCTTAGTATTGTCTTACTTTTTAAGCTTTCTTTTTTTCTTTCATAATTGCATGAAGTTAGTTGCTTTTATTGAATAAGTTGTTTTCATAATTTTTAGTCACATTTTATTGTGTTTTTTAGCTAAAGATACATTTGAGATATCTTGAGAACCTTTCTTGATGCTTGAACCTCCAAACGAAGATGACTACAACTACTGTCTGGACTCTGATGAGGGTCTTGGTGACTTGTTTGGTTTCAGGTTATAAGTAGGTTAAAAATTCTTAGTATCTAAAATGTGTGTTTTTTTTTTTTTTGCAAATTGTAAATCCCTTCGTTTTCTTCCCTTGTATAACAATTCTTTTATTAACTTACCATTTGGTATATCTATTAAACTAAACAATTTTTTATTTCTTTTTTTTTAACAAAATTTTAATTTATCCCAAATTGAAATTAAATTTTCTATAATAATTATTATTTAAAAACCATAAATTTTACTTATGTATTATGTTTTTATTTTAGCATCCAATCTTATTTTTTATTTTTTTGGCATATAATTATTTTGATATCAAGGTACAAAAAAAAGTATTTTCAAGTATCGTATATTAGAAATTAAAAATTTGGTTATGAAAATGTGTTCAAATTATTATTTATTTTGTTTAAACCAATTTTATTTCTGTTTATGTTCTTTTCGTTAATGTGCAATTTTTGGTCGTTTATTTACTAGTAATTTGTTACTATGCTAAATATACGCTATTTTTAAAAAAGATACAAAAATTATATTTTATGCTATTTAGTGCCTTTTATTTGTTAAAAATAAATTTTGAGCTTTCCCTTAAAACAAAACTGTTGTACAAGGAATGGGTATGCTCGCCATTCAGAACTGAAACACTGTGTATTATAAAATCATCAATTTCTGTATATTAAAATGTCTAAAATATAAATTGTATATTTTATTACTTTTAGATTTAGAATCTACCTATAGTGATTAAGTGAAAATTAGAATTATTATTCCAAAATTAATTATGTAAATTTACCTTGATGTAAGTACTCAAATTTGTTTTTTTTTTTTTTTTAAACACTTGTATATTGAGACAATGTATTTTTTCCTCTTCATGATCTATACCCCCAATCCGCCGATCTCAATCGATTGATACACTACATTATTACCTGATGCCCATTTTGGATAAAAATTTATTTTACCGCTACTAGTTGATGGTTTCTCATCATGTACACTTATGTAGTGTGTATAACAAAACTTATTTGGTCTGAACACTGAACGTCATTGTTTAAATATATGTGTATTCCTACCACATATGTTTACGTATGTTCTTACATAGATGTGAAATTTAGTTAGTCAAGATTAACGAATTTTATAATTTGCATACAAATTGTTTTGAATGAATTAATAGTATTGATATTCAACATTAAAAAATACTGCATATTAGTGATGATCTTTAGGATTGAAACTCGTGCTACATTTTGGGGCAATGAAATGCTGTGTCGGTGATCCTAAATAATCAGCTACCATAACCACCAAAAGGTCCCTCCACCAGTTGAGAATAGCTGGTATACATCATCTGTTTCTAGTTAACTTTTTAAATGGTTTTATTAGTATATCTATTGTGCTATCAATGACAATTTGGTTTAGCATTCAGTGAGATTAGTGAATAGCCTTTTGGTTTCTGTAATAATCAAATGTTCGTCCAATTGCATTTTACCATGCACTTTTAGCTAATTAAGTATCAATTGCTTTAATGTACATTTCACAATCTTCTTGAGTCTTATTGTTAAATATATTTTCTACAGATGGGTAATTTTTGAAATATACTTAAATGAAACATTTCAGATAATGTCTACCTTAAATCTTGAAACACCTTTTGTTTTGGTATTTTTCTTCATTATTATTTATATTATTATTATTATTATTATTATTATTTATTTTTTTTTTTAGTACATAACATGCCAATGTAATTTATGTATTTATTATTATTATTTTAGTATAATTATTAATATACAATAGACATTTTTGATTTACAGTTTTATTTTAATAAATTTAAAACAAAATTATTGTCTAGTTTATACTAACCTAATAAAGTCAGAGGTTATAATAAATGGATATTATTGAGTTTTGAATTCAGACAATGAGTTTGAATACCTGTTAAGAGTTTGTTTCATATTTAACTACTTAAGTAATAATTATGATTAGTATTAGATATTTAATATAATATACATAAATATTTTAAATCAAAATTATTGCAACAACTTTGGGGTATCTATATCTAATGAACTGCTATAATTATTCATTATCATTAATCGATACATATTTTTTAATTTGATATTTTATACCAAGTGACAATAATTTTGTGCAGGACATGTTAATAAATAGGTGTTAAATAATAAAAAAAAATATACGACAATTTGTGCATTTTTTAAATAACAGTTATTCAAATACTTTTAATGTCTAATTGAATAGTTAGGTACTTAACTTATAATTTGAATAATGCGATGTGTTTAATATTTATTATAGGTAATAATAAAATATAAGTACCTACTACACTAAAATTATTGTTCAAAATAAAGTTCGTTGGCATATCAGAGTAAAAATACACTTGGTTATCCCTCCTTTCATTGAAATCTCTAGTTGCGCTCTAGAGTAGGTATATTTGTATTACCTGGTGTGAGTTTCCCTAGGATCTTTGTTAAATTTCTAATTATCCAACACTTCTTTATATAAATAGGTAGGTATCTGATTTGGTAATAGATATTCTTTTTTTGAATCCACTTAAGTTAGTCCACCTAACCAGTAACCTTAATGATTTTAACAGTTCTGACTGTTTTCGGGTCTTTTGAACTATATCATTTTGGTTTTTAGGCTAAGTTTTTGGATTTTAAAAAGTTAAAATCGGTCTTTAACCTTTATAATTTAAACATAATGTGAATTTATGAGTATATTAATAACCGCTCCCTTATATCCTATAATTTAGAATTGTTTTGAAATAAGATATCAATTAATAATTATTATGTAATAGCATGCTTAACTCAAATAACACCTTATCGATAATTCCTCTACACCTATAATGGCTTGGTTCGTGCACATCGATGACATAATATTTCATTATGCCAATCGTAAAAATGCTATTTTCAATTCAGGTGTGTGTCGCGTGTAACATGTCGAGTTCCGATTGCAAATGGCATGCAACCGATAATACTAAATATGAAAGACTGTAATCTTTCAAGGATCTGCTGATATTAGAATCTCTGTATCTTTTAAAAGATGTTTACATCTCTTACACATGAGTAATCGAAAAGAAAAAAATCCTCTTGGATTCCGGATTCTGATCGATTTTCTTTGTCTGAGACAAAGCTAAGCTCACTGCTGTGATTATTACCATAACTTAACAGACGTTCTGAGTCGCACCAGATATGTCGTGTATCTTTTAATTGTACCCACAGATATTTAAAAATACTAGATAGCCGACTTGGAAATGATTTTGAAGCCCTCAAAATGACCGAAATTCTCTTATCTAAGAGGTAAATGTTTACATTTTCACAACACTGATATATGATATTTTGTAAACATTCACCTCTTAGATAAGAGAATCTCGGCCATTTTGTAGGCTTCATAATTTTTACATTGTAGGAATAGGGAGTCGTCTATCTAGTATTTTTATATATCTGTGATTGTACCAAACATATTTGCGATATTTTTTTCGTACTCACCAGGACCAGGCCCACATTCGAATGTTAAGATCTTCTTTTCATTACAATTATTATTGCACGGCGTTCTGAATAGGCAATTTGGGTACATCGGTGTCGTGGGTGTACATTTCTGGTATCATCGTGATTCGTGGTAGATAATAATTAGGAACATATTAATATTGTATGCACTATGCAGTAGTTAATATCCTGCGGTGGGTGATGCCGGTGATCAAGGTTTATAGATAATAAAGGTTGCCTCATAGTCACGTAAACAAAGCATTCCCCCCGCAGCGTCTTATTACGCATGACGTCATCCGTAGGAGAGTTTCGCGGGCGGCTGTTGTGTCGTATGTACATACAATGCTTAATATTCATACTTACTGCTATACTTGTCTGCTAATTAATGTGAATTTGTGTTTTACATGTGTTTATTACTACTTATTAGTGTACCTACCTATAATATTTTAATCATATTATATTAAAATATTTTCTGTTTAAGATAGTAGAAACCTATAGTATTATGTATGTATTCCAAGCATACTATTCATAATAATATACTCCATACAATTTACAAATAAAGTGTTGACTTATTATAAACAATTGTAAATTGTAATTATTACTAAATGAGTAAAACTTTAAACCCAATATTAAAATATGATAATTTAAATACTTTAAATTTATTGTATACCAATCCTCATATCAATATAAAGTAATTTTTAAAATTTTCAGTTTTCTCATTAATGAGAAATATATTCCAAGTCATAATCAATAATATTATTATTTATTAGCAATTTATTTTAGTATATTATAATAAATAATTTTACAGATACAATATATTTTATAATTGAAAAATAAAAAAAAATATTATAATCATTATTCAGGTAGGTTTGGCTAATATATATATTTCAGTCTCAAGTCATTAATTTTCTTAATTTCACTATTCTGCTTAGTTGAGCTTTTGCTTTTCTTTTTTTAGCTAATGATACTGCATGTTGGTTGTAATATTTCATTCGGATCAACAATCTTTGTTTTACATAAGACTGAATTACAGGTTTATATTTTTGTTCAATTTCAGTTCTTTTGAAAATCCTATCTGTTAGCCTTTTAACTACTCCTGATCCTTTAGGGATAAGTTGCTTTGTAATTTTTTTAAATAACCTTTCAACTCTAAAAATGTTAGCTTTAAAGTTTTTACTGGGAGTTATTAATCCCCCATAAGAAAGATGACTAATCCAACATGGCATTAAATAATCATGGTCATTTGTAGCTCTTGACTTTTTTGCTGCTGTTATAGAACCAATTTCGGGAAATTTAAGCTTATGTTTTTTAGCAACCCAACCTGCTAAGTATTCTACAGCATCATTTGTCATTTCACTGTTGTTTCTTGATTCTTTAACTTGTGACTCATTTTCACTGGCCGTATCTGTTTCAGAACCGTTGGACATATTTTCATTTTCTTGATGTTCAGGTATTTCAAATTCACCTTTTACATTGAAATCGGCCTGTTTAAAAGTTGCTGCAACTAAAAACTCTTCTTGATTTTGATCAGTTGTGTTGGATGAACTTGAAACTATACCAGGGTTTTTCCCAAGAATAATCATTCTTAACCTATGGAGTGCATTTAGAGGTGATGGATGGTCATTTAAGCCACAACGTGACCGTAACTGAGAAAACAAATTCTCTAGGGCGTCTTGAATTATTTTACTGGTTAACAAATATTTTAAGTTGTTTTCTATCAAAATTTGAAGCAATAACTTAGTTCCATTTACATTCATAAGTAAAGCTTTTTGAAATAATTGTAAGTTTTGTTTTCCAATACATCTCATATTTAAAACTGTTTCATACACTTCATTTAATAATGCATCTTGCTCTTCAAGACATACTCCATAAGGTGCCGTGTAAGGGGTTCGCTTATCATTTGAGTGACACACATTTGCCAAGTCAAACCAATTATTTGTTAATTCTATAAAATGAGCAGTATCATTATTTAATTTTGTGTCATTAATAGGTTTATAATGTAAAAGTGCTGTAGCTGTAGTATGTGATAATAGTTGTGTGGCTAATTTAACTCTTTGCCGTTGAGGTCCTTCACAAGACAGATGTTCTTTTGTAAGTTTATAACACACACTTAATTCAGTTGATGAAAAAGATACCAATGCTTCTAAAGGTTTTTTATTAATGATTTTATCATTTATAGAAAACCCTGTATCTAATAACCAATTTCTGACTAATTTTAATATATGAGGTGCATCAGGTATGTACACCACCTGTCTACCATTAGGAATAATAAATACAGGATTTTGATAGTTTATATCTAAAGCCTTCCATAATCCTATATTACCGCCTCCGCAATCACTGACACAACAAATAACCTTGAACCCAATTTCATCTAACTTTTCAATAATGTCAAACAATATATCTTTGGTAATTTTTTTATAAAAATCAACAAAAATGGGTTGTTTCCACTGTGATGAAATTCCTCGAGCCATTACAACTTGCATTTGATTATGCGGACCAATAAACTCGTCATGCAATACATCATACTCCACTGTACTTGATATTTTAACTTCATCGAACATCAGAACGGTAAGTTTCTCATGATCTTTTAAACAATCTCCATTAAGTTTCATAATTTTTAGCACGTCATCAAGAATACCATTTCTCATTTCAATTGTTTTGGCCCATCGCTGAAGAGATGACAGTCCTGAAAAAATATAACTTATGAATAAGTGAAAAATAAGTTAAAAATAATCTAAAATGGAAAAAAAATTACCGGGCAGAGGATAGTGTAGTTCGTTTTTCACATAAACATATGATCTTTTGCTGAGGTACCTTAATGTGAACGCTTTGGCCACCTCATCTCTTGTCCAATGCACTCTCTTTTTTTTCTTTAATATTAAATTGAGTTGATTCTGAGAAAAAACTGATGAAACCAATTTCTTTGCTTCATTTTCAACCGATTTGTTTTTGTTCTGAGACAGAATTTTAACTTCTTCAGACATTGTTTTTTGTGTGGTTTTTAATAATGAGTTTGTTG